CAAGTGGCATCTTGGCAGCTGCACGCTTGACTTTTCTCAGTTCATGGGCAGTTATTTTGCGCCTTGGTTTTTCCACACGCTTCTTGCGACCCTGTTGACTATTTTGAATGAAACGCTTGATTGTTCGATGATCACGCTTCAGAAGCTTTGCAATTTTGAGACTGCTGCATCCCTCTGCAAGATATCTCACTATTTTTGACTTTTCTGAGCCTGTCAAGTCCTTCTTTTGACCCATTTTGCCAAAGGAAAGGACGTTGCCTAATAATTATGCACACCTGATATAGGGTGTTGATGTCATTAGACCACACCCCTTCTCATTACAGAGATGCACATCACCTAATATGCTTAATTGGTAGTAGGCTTTCGAGCCTATACAGCTTGGAGTAAGACAACATGCATGAAGAGGATGATGTGGACAAAATACTCATTTGCCTAATAATTCTGCACTCCCTGTATATAAGTTGTAAAACAAATAAAACCTCTAAAGTTAATCATAAATATTTATTTCTAACTCTAGCCTATAAATGGAAACATTTTGTGGAAAATTTACATGTTAACTTTTGCAAGAAATGGCTTCCTTGCCATTACTGCTGCTGCTGCAGAGTGGGGGGGGGGGGCTATACTATACTGGACAGTCTTTTCAGGCTAAAGTAGGTACTCTGCAGTACTGTGGTACAGTTTACAGTAATGAAGTGCAGGATGGGTGTTCACGATCACTGTTAGGACTGGTTATGACAGCTGAAACTCGATGGCCGAGTTGTCCCACCTGTTATACCCCTTTGAAGTCTGCTTGAACTCTTCTGCCTGGGGTGTGTGTGTGTGTGTGTGATCGTGTCCGTGTGTGTGTGTGTGTGTGTGTGTGTGTGTGTGTGTGTGTTTAGTTCATGGACTGTAATGTCAATTATCTGCACATTAATTAGCGAGGCCACAAAAACACTGGTCAAATTTATGTCTCTTGGATCCAAGTCGATGAGAAAAATGTAATCAAGGCTTCAGGGTAACAGTCATTAGTTTGAATGTAAGTTGATGACATTCTTTACTACCCTTCACCTGCCAATCTCCACCTTTAGACATTACACCGCCCAAAGGTTGGAGAGTGGCCACGACAGCTCATGTAACATCTGCTAATATCTCGTAAATTGCAGCAAGCAAAACCCACAAAGAGCAGTGAACCTCAGAGTCAGCACAGGTCAGCTGTCACAGTCCGTCCGCAAGGAAATCAAATCCTCAGAACAGAAATTATGTGTGACTTATTTCTAAGTGAGTCATTTTCCCCAGCTGCACTGCTACACCTGATCTTATGACTTCCCTCTTCTGTCCAATCCCTTAACCCCTGGTTGCATTAATGACAATCAAACCAACGATTTCTGTTAAGTTTGTTTACTTCATACAGACAAGCCTGAGAGGTCTGGAGAGTTTTAACTATGAAAATATTCCTGCCCACTGAAGAGACAAACCTGTAGCTTTACCTTTTGCTCCTCTTCTTCGTTCTCCTCCTCCTCTGTTCCTGATTTTATTTTCACCCCTGCTCTGCTGTCCTGCTGATCCTGGTCATCCATGTCCTCTTCTTTGTTTACTCCTTGAATTCTCCCCAAGTTCTCCTCCTCGCAGCGTCCACTATCTGACTGACTCGGCATCTGAGGGTCATCTTGGGACGCAGCTGCTAACCCAGTGATTGGAGGGTCAAGTTTAGATTCGTCCCCCATCTTGTGGGAATCCGGGGAGAGAAGTGCTCCCTCCTCCCGCTCTGCGTTCACCCCTTCTTCTCCTAACAACCCGAGGTTAGGCGCCAAAGGACGCTGTCTCTGTCTGGGTCTCTCCTCTGAAATCCCCAGCGCCAGAGAGGGCTTCCGTTTGTGGAAGCGTCGGATTGGGAAGGAGGCCCTCTGGTCAACCACCCTACTGCCAACTACATTTCCCGCCCGGTCGTCTTCCATCCCACCCAAAGCAGAGCTCACCAAGCTGAGCCCCAGCTGCTGCAGTAAGAAGGAGCGCTGCAGCTTTGAAGTGGCAGCATTTGCTGCAAGGTTAGCATTAGCTGCTAACATCGGGTTCACTGCTAAATCAGCTACTTGCTGATGCTGCTGCTGTCTGTGCCTCTGCTGCTCCTGCTGTGGGTGGTGATGGGCAGCTCTGTCGGATGAGGGGGACATGGGCAGCGTGCGCGTCGTCAGGTAGTGTTTGCAAGCCTTGACCACATTGTTGAGGTGCAGATGCGAAGCTGCGAGGAGAACATCCATGACATTGCTCTCGCCGAGCATCAGTGTTGACGTGTACATCATGTCCACGAGAGCAGCGAAGGCCTCGGCCGTCACCACCTGCAGAACGCACACAGTGGTTTCAATCACCATTAGAATGACTAAAAACACTTTTTTCGCTTTTTTGACAGCATTTTCTTTCTAACCTCGCTGTCCAGCTGGATCATGTTCATGCTAGCATCTCCCTCTGCGACAGTGAACAGCGCTCTGAAGTGGGTGCTGCAGGCCGCCAGCACGGAGCGGTGGGCTTTAAAGTGTCGGCTGCCTACCACGATGACACAGTCGCAAAGCTGACCATGGACACGCTGATAGTTCAGCTGCTGGAAGATCTGCTCAAAATGGCCTGGGAAATCCATGGCCCTGCAGACAGAGGAGCAGAGGGTAGGTTAGTTATGCAGAACTACAGTCAGTTAGCAAAGATCAGGTGATCTACTGATGTCACTGCATCTGACCTATCAGCAGCGACCTGGAGCTTTTCAAGCTTCAGTGTTCTTCAACAAATTGGGAAATTCAGTTTACTGCCCCTACGTACTCTTACCCTTATCATCATAATGCCCAAACCAATAGTTCTAAGTTAATTGCTGTATTACAAGAAACAGACTGTATGTAGTTGCCAACTTGACATTATTGAGTAGCACACTGGTTGCAGCTTGCTTTTTTGACAATCCATTATGCATGAGAAAAAAAACAAAAATTAAATAAGATCAAGTTATCTTAATGGATAAAACAATTGGGGACAAAGTGATAAATCACAACATGTGTTACTACAACACTCATCACACTTCAAAATGTTAAAAAACGCTTATTTATCAAAGTAAGACAGGAGAGGATGGAGAGAGGTTAGATTTTAAAAGGTAAGGACTGCTCCGTGACATTTAACAGACTGGGAAGTTAAAGCTGAAACATAACATCCTCATTCATTTTAGACACTTTTGAACTGATACCAGATCTATACCTGATGTGTTGCTTATGTGAAGTGTATACTAACTTTTGCTATTCCAAGGTTGCATGAAAAGGCAGTGTATGGCAGGGTAATCCGGTTAATCTGTGGTACTGTGGGGATGTTTACAGTGCAGAACAGATGTGGCGTTTATGGTTACTGTAACAAGGAAACACGTAATTTTAAAGTTATGGAAAGGAGATTAATTCACTGAATTCTACCTTTATAGTGTGTAGGGGTGTCACAAATCTGCCCTGACAGCCAACAAGAGCAGAAACTCAGGTCAGCTGATCACAGCCCGAAAACAAAGAAAATTTCATTGTGCTTACAATAAAAATTACTTCCAAGTGATGCTGCACTACAAAACTAGAGATCTCACACCTACTCGAATCAAACTTGAACCCACGATTATGCTCATTTTTCTGCTTAGGTGTAGCTACATCAGCACATAGAGCGAGTTTGCATCTGAATTTGGGCTGACATAATGTTTGTACTCCCATAATATTATTTGATTTTTATATTATTAATGAAGTTAAGTTAGCTTTGCACAAAACAGCTGATAGAAATGTCCTCCAAATAGCTCATTTTCACTGCATTTCAGAGTCTGGATCCAGCACTTCAGTATTTTTTGAAACAAGTATGTGTACTTCTACTTGAGTGATGAAACTGTGCATTTTTGAGTACCTGTGGATGCAGTCTAGGATGTCTGAATGGTGATGGGGGTGAAGTTGGACCAGTTTTTGTATTTACTAGCGAACAGCCAGGATGCCGTGGTGCTGTCATTTTATTTTGGTTACTGATTACTGTGCACCAAATGTTGCGTTTTCCACTGCCTTTGCCTTCTTGCTATAAAGTCATATATTGACGAACAGGTCTAACTTTATTGAACACCGTCGTCTTTACACACAGTTAACGTCACAACTGCAATGGAACACAATAGCATGGGATGCGACTGGGTAAAATGGCACAAAAGAAGCACTCTGCTGGTGCTGTAAGTCAGAGCAGAGAGCCAGCGGTACTTTAGGTTACCTTGAAAGATCCGGAAAATGCAGGTATCGAGAGGGAGAACAGGGCCCCGATTAGCTAAAGTTAGCTGGCTTCAGCCCAGCAAATAGCGCGTTAGCTAAAGTAAAAGCAGCGGCATGCGGTCACCGAGACTGGACAAAATGTCCCCTCAAGCCGAGCTGTGGATAGCTAACATTTCCGCTGCTACCTCCCGCGTCCCCCTGCGGTCGACTTCCTGACGGTTTGACCCCGAAGCGGCTTGTTTGGTTTTGGCCGTGGGAAAGTAAAGCTGGCCGCGATGCACGGTGACGCGGTGTCCGTTGATCTCCAACGGCTGCCAGGCTGAGCACACAGCCACGGCGCCAGAATAACCGTTAGAATAATATTAATGCCTCCTATCTATTGGTGAGTGGTAGCGTCATGCTGTGTTGTGTTTTCTAATATTTCCCCCGGCCGACAGACGGTTTTTCCAACCAGACTCACGGGGCGGCGCTGTACCTCTTTTTCGCGTCCATGACCTCACCCGAGGTGAAAAGCTGCAGCTTTACAGTTTCACCACAAGGCGTCGCTGCTGCACCCCCACACATAGCCAGTTAGCCAAAGATTATAAACAGCATCGAGATGGTAAATGCTTTGGCATTTTCATTTTGTTAAAGCCCGTATAAATGATAATCCAATGAACAAAGACATAGCAGAAGGAACAGTGCAGGCAAAATAAAGAAAGGCACCAGGTAAATTATCCACAACAAAACTGGAGAAATTAGAGCAGCGGCTTGGCGAAGCGAACACGGAAGTACAGAGGAGTAAGTAAACTCTTGCCCTGCATGAAAACTCATCATGACAACAGTCATGGCCGCCTCCTGCTCGTTTGTGTGCTGCGGAGAGGAGAAAGAAGCCGATAAAGCTGTCGTCGGTGAGTCGTCCTCATTTGTTTATTATGTAGAATTTTTCACGAGGATGATGATGATGACACATGACTCTGGGTTGGGCTTTGTGGAGTTTATATTTCTAAAGCATTTAGGTGCACACGTGGGCACTACTGTGTTGTTGTGTCCGAGGCTCTCACGTGTGTCACTCTACAGTCACATCGATCATTGAGGTTTGATCGCATTTGAGGTTTTGATTCCCGGTGTTTCTGTCTCAATCCCACAGTCCGCTTTTCCAACGGCAGCGTCCAAAATGCAGACAAGCTGGATTTCAGCATGTTTAAAAACACAGAGGAAAGTAACCCCAGGAAAAAGACCAGGCGGATACTGGTGAGGAAGATGAGTATCTATCGTGTGTCTGCACTCTCCGGGCTATGTTGCTATACTCTCAGTGTTCTTCCTGGTTTCTTTTATTTAGGTTGCAGAGTCAGACAGACTGTCCTATGTGGGGCAGAACTTTGGAGTGGGGTCAATGAAGTGCAATAATCTTTGCAAGTAGGTCTTTGCTGCACATTTTGGCATGTTATGGTCACTGAGGAGGAGATTGATAAGGAGGATGTTTGGCATCTTTTTAGATATTATGTGGGCGTGTTGAACAAGCAGACCATGACGATGGAGGTGCATGAAGCTCAGCTCTTCAACATGCAACCAGTTATACCAGGTAAGAGACCTATAACATATCTGTTGCTATTTCTAACTGCCCATAAAGACCAGAAGCTGTGGAAGGAATGCTTTGTGTGCCTTCTGAGAGTCACTTTTTCTGACTTTTGTCACCAGGAGAGACAACAGACAGTGCAAAACTCCAGGACACTACTCAGACCTACAGAGAAAAGGTGCATTTGCTGCTACTGTCTGTCCATTACAAGACATCTGTGCTTAATTATGTGTAATGTGAATATCTTATTACCTTTAATGTTTCCCTTTCAGGTTGACTTACTGATTGAGGCCTTTGGTACCAACAAGCAGAAGAGAGCTCTGAGCTCTCGCAGGCTGAATCAGGTGGGCAGTGAAACCCTTCAGCAAGCAGTGGCAAAGGCTGCCAACACTGTGATTGGCGAGAAGGGTCTGGAAGGTAAGCTGCACAGTGGATGCCTCTCCTAGGAGAAATCTGGAAGTTGAATGTTTCTCTCTCCAGGTTTTTTTTCTTAACCTTCCCTCTCTGCACAGCTTTGCAGCAAGAAGTGGCTGACGCAGAGTCGCAAGGAGACCTGGCTCTGCACCTTCCCCCCTGCAATGCAAACGCAGACAAACGAGAGGACGTCTATCCATTTGATGAGCGTATCTTTTATTCCTGTGCTGGAGGAGGAATGTGTTTATGGAAATAGGAAGGCAAGGAATCCATTTGAATCCCAGATTACAAGATGGGGTACTAGCGTATGCATGTGTTTGCAGGTTTTTATCTAGAGCCGTACCAGACTTTGTTCAGGTGACCCTTAACCGAATATGTGCAGTCTTGAGCCCAGTGGAGTTTGGTGCTTTGGAGCAGGGTGGTGCCAAAATGGCAGCACTCACCCCCGAAGAGCTGAAAAAGATGAAAGATGATGGAAGGTAGAGGCAACCAAACCTTCAGAGACATTTTATTAATGTGTTCTTGCACTTGAGGTTGATCTTGTGGTTTTTATCTTTAACCTAAAGGTGCCTGAGTATTGTGAAGCATCTAGAGAATCTGCCAACTGAAAGTGAAAGCCGAGACAAAACAGCACGCTGTGCTTTCTACCTCTCTCTGCTCCTCAAACTGGCTCGGGAGAGGAATGTCACCCGCAAGTGTGAGTGAATTTTGTTAGTGTTATGATGTGGAAAGTGGCATACAAACTTTCACCATTAGAGGGTTGTAGTAATTCATGTTTGCATGTACAGTTGGGCAAGAGGAAGGCTGCCCTCGCGTCATCCAGGGCAAACTGTTTAAAACGTTCACCGTGGAGACCTTCAACAATGGCAGGTATGGTGGTTAAACACATGTAGCTAATGAAGAAAAATGTATCTGGAATTTGATTTTGTTTCACTAAATTAATAATTTCATTAGTAATTCAAAAATTTACCAAATGCTAAACCGAGACAGGGAAGCTAAATAATATATACAGTTGTAAGAAGTTTATATACATGAATCATGAGCATGAATGTCATGGTAATTTTGGGCTTTTAATGACTTCTTTGAACTGTTCTTTTCTCAGCGTGGAATATTGTACAGCATACACCTTTAATGATTTTAAAAACCAAGAATTAGGTGCACAAGTTTCAATTTATTTAGGATTTTCTCTAATCCACACGGGGTCAAATGTATAGATACTCACTTAAATAATTTAGTAAGTGTTGTTAAAGGTTCTACAATGTATTTTAACAAAGTTATGGCCTATTAGCTTCTCGATAGTGATCGTGATTGACTACATCTTTTAGTTTCTCTTTGCAGCATAAGAAGGGATTGTTCGATAGCACCAACTGGATTGAATAATGCAAAAGTCCAAGAAACTAATTGAAGATCTAAGGAGATCTGTAGTTTCTTGGAGACCCTCGAAAGAACTACAGATTCCAACATCATCAGTTTAAACAGCTGATTTGTCATCACTTTGCCAAAAATGTCACCCTCATATGAGAGAAGGTGAGCTAGGATAGTCAGGAACAACCCAGAAACCACCATGGCTGAAGCCTGCCATGAACTGCAAACTGCTGGAACACCAGCATTACTGTCCACAGTGAAGCACCTTTTTCATTGCCATGGACTGAGAGGGTGGCAACCAACAAAGAAGCCCCAAACACACATTAAAACTGGTTTTAGGATGAATAAAGCAGGCTAACAATAAGCCTCTGGAATTGCCTTTCAAAAAACAAAAACCCAACTCAACCCTGTTTAAATCTGTTCAGTGTGCTTTAAAGCCAGGTCTATGCCAGGAAACTAACAAATTTAAGTGAACTTTACCATTTCTACCAAAAAGAGTGGTCAAATATTCAGCCAGAATTATGCCAGAAGCTTCTTGAGGGCTGCCAAAAATCCCAAATAAATTTAAACTTGTGCACCTAATTTTTGTTTAACTATACGTTATTAAAGGTGCGTGCTTTACTATCATTTCACTCTGGAAAGCAGTTCAAATAAATTTTTTTTTTTTTTTTTTTTTAAAAATCACCAAATTATTTATGGCAGACATTCATGGCCATGAGTTTATGTAAACATCTGACCACAAAAGTATAGTTGTTGCTGCACTGATTCTTTTCAAAAGACACACTTTCTTTACTTTTCTGTTTAGAATCCAGAACATGGTGTCGTCGTCAATGCGGGTCAAACTAGCAGCATACTGCTTAGCTCTGCTGCTGCATATGGGTAACATGACAGCTGACCTCACATTACTGCATCGTGACCTGGGAATCACTGAGGCAAGGTAAGCAGGGGAATAAAAAGGAAGCCTTTAAAAATCGTTTCTTACATTTCATACATTGTTTAAATAAAGAGTAAAATCATTAATGAAGTCAATAATGTGGACTTAACCACAGATACTACTATCCTCCTTCTTTACTCTGTAGTTTTTGTTTAAACTGTAAACTATTGTGATTCTTGTGCTCTCCTATAGGATGACTGAAGTCGCAAAGTCAATGAGACTGACCTTGGTGAAACCAGCCCGAGGCAAGGGTGATAACATTGAACTGCAAGATGACAGCAGACTGGCCGCCCTTGTTCTGCCTCTGATCAAATACGATCACTTCACTGAGAGACGGAAACGCAAAAAGATGCACTGAGGACGCGAAGGAGAACCGAGAACTGGACAGAAAGAAATGAATATCAAACAAATGGCTGCATTAAACAAGGCTTGTTTGTTAATGCTTTTGTAGACAAATAAAGTGAACTTCAAGGCGTATGTGACACACTTACATTTAAAGATAGAAAAAAAAAAAAAAGACTAAAGAGCTGTAAACAAATTCTAGATGACAGAACATCTAGCAGGAACATATAGGCACGTTTGTAGACATCACATGTTGCACACTACACATCTTCCCCTTCTCTGAGTGTGTGGACAGGATATCTGGATAACTGCCTTTCTCTTCTTTCTGTCTGCTGGTCTTTTTTTTGCTTTTGATTTATTTTTTACAAATGCAGACAAATCAAATAAGCTGTTACAAAAGCTAAACTGTCGTCAGACAATAGTGGATGGTTGTGAGATTATATTTCAGCAAATGCGAACCCTCTTCTGAAACCGAAACCTACTCAAATATGATTGGTTGGTCGAACTTAAGTGCAGGTGGACTACAAATGGAACTATAAAGCTTAGACTACCAACAGTTTTTTTTGCATAATCATATGCAGACATCTGTTTAGTTTTCTGTGCAGCATGTTGACAGGATCTGAAATAATGAGATGTCTCAAAAGCTGAAGTGCATTAAGTTTTAAAAACCATAGAGGACATTACGCAAGAAGAGACCCGCCAACAAACAGGACAGAAAGAGACAGAATCTTAATTTTGGCTTAGTTGCATAAAAGCCCTCACGCTATGAACACACCTTCCCTCGCTACAGCATCCCTTAAATAGTCAACCAAGGCACAGCTTTACTTTGACCCACTGTCAAAGCCAGTATTTCTGAAGCCTTTGACTCCTGCTAGGATTTAGAAATGTGCACTTCCTAACCAGCGAGTCCGTATAAGCAAAAATAAGACTACCAAACAAGTCTGCAGTAAATGAGCTAATGATAAACTAGGCAAAGCTCTAGTCTCAAACAGATTCCAAAGAAGTATGAATGTCTTGTACTCCAGCTTCGGTTTTCAATAGCCCACGTTTTATGAGTACAGTAGCATTTTAACCGTAGAAGTACAAAAGTCTAATTTCAGATTTTCAAAATCTTCTTCCACCTTAATAAAAATGAGGGTGGATGGCTCCTTTAATGTTTCAGTTGCCGTCTCCAGCTACTTGGACAATTAACCGAACCCTTATTTTGACAGTCAGTGCCCCACGTGTATGGTTTACAGCAGTTAAGGTGCAACCCGATGCTGACCTCCTGACCCTGGCTATCATATTGGCTTGTAAGTTCTTGCCAGTATTCACAGGATGCTGCAAAACATGCTGCCGCTGTGGCAACCACTTTCCACAGTTGCGCTGATCCTGGTGGTCACGGAAATTCCAAGTCCAGAGGGATACTGGGATGAAGAGAGACCAGCAGGGGAGCTGGCCAGTGGGCGAGGAGGAGGGTTTTCCATAACCCAGGGGGGAACAGATGTACAGCTATGAAATGAAGAGAGAAAGGGTAAACAGCAATTGGGAGGTGCCCTTTAAGATTATTTTTCACCCCACCCCTATTTGTTTTTTTAAACCATTTTCATCTTCAGCAGTTCCTGAGGGAAATAACCTTTAAGCGGCACACCATTTTTTATGTCACTAGCTAGCTGTCACTGACTGTTACACAATTCTGAGTAAACGGTGAATTTTTAGAGCTTTTTCTTCTCATAAAAACCTGCTTCATTCAAAAATGTTGCTATTAGAGTAAACTGTAGCAGTACATGTATGGGTCCAGCCCAGCAAAGCTAATAAATAGAGAGGGAATGTGATTAAGAAAAACAACCACTGCTCTCCACTGAGGTAATAAAACCAGTAAAAGAACTGCAGTGTGGTGGGACGCACTACCAACACGGTAAAGAACCAAGGACTAAAGCCTCTAAGGAGCCAAACCCCAAACACAGAACTCAAGTTAATAAGATGAGACAGCAGCAACTGATTCAAGCGGTATCCTGATATTTAGATGGCCTGCCTTAGTACTTCTCCAAGTACACCATCTTCAAACCTCTGAGGTTGGGCTCTAGGTCTTGAACTGGGGGATCATTTCACATGTAAGGAAAATGTGATCACTACACCACGAAGCCACTGCTTTCCTACTAAAAGCAATGACCTCAAAAAGTTCTTTAAGTTAACCTGCAGATCTGAGTAATTTTTTACTCAGATCACTTACTATTTATTAGTAATTTATTAGACACTGCGCAGACAGCAGAAGCGATAGAAAGTGACGACACTAATTCCACTGATGGTCTACAGCAGGGGTCTCCAACTCCAGGCCTCCAGGGCCAGTGTCCTGCAGGTTTTAGATGTGTCCTTGATCCAACACAGCTGATTCAAATGGCTAAATTACCTCCTCAGCTTGTGTTGAAGTTCTCCAGAGGCTGGTAATGAACTAATCATTAGATTCAGGTGTGTTGATCTAAAACCTGCAGGACACCGGCCCTTGAGGCCTGGAGTTGGAGACCCCTGGTCTACTGAATGTCTGCCAGTTTTTAATGGGCCTACTGATTACCTGTCATCATGCCTGAGAATGCTATTGTTCCGCAGCACACAGCTCTCATTGCCAGGATCCATATGTAGCAACGCTTTTCTGTTGTCACGGTGACCCTGGAACAAGATGTTGTCATGGACAACACCTTTAACTGGCCCTAGCACGGCAATCCCACAGCCTTGTGAGGGTTGGACACGATTGCGCATTACCTGAAGACAAAAAAAATTATTAAAAACTCAAATGTAATAAAGTTATGGTTAATATAAAAGTAAACAGCTACAATATGCAGGTCTAATAGTAGGTTTGGAGATCTTCAGTCCATCCCACCTTGATATCGGCAGTTCCACAGACCTGGATTCCACATCCACGGTTCCCAACAACATCATTCTCCACAATCTGCCCATTACCACTGAAACTGACACCATAGCCACTGTTTTCATAGATGCCATTACCACGAAGCTCCACTCTGCAGTCTTTCTCCACCGCAACACCACCTCGACCATTTTCCAGAATGCAGTTTGTAGCAAGTCGGGTCAGCTGACTGCTTTGCAGCACGGCAATGCCAAGGCCACGGTTACAGTTTATCAGGTTAGCAAAAACATTCAGGGCCTCAGTGCTCTTCACATACAGACCAACTGCTATAGAAAAGGGACAAACAGATGGAGAAATGACAAACAGTCTTTCATTCTCCCGTTCTATCGGCATTTGATGAAACAGATCAATTTAGTACCTCCATTGTAGCTCATGCAGTTGCTCTCCACCAGGGCCACGCTAATAGAGCGTCGAGCAGAGTGGCGCTCATCTTCACTGTCCAGGTCACTGTCCCAGGCAAACAGTTCACCTTCTTCATTAAAGTTCTCCTGCCCTTCACGTCCCTCTCCTTCTACACCCCTCCTGTCTGCACCGCCTCCTTCTCCAGCGATTCCTTCCTGCCCAGGCCAGTTTCCCTCCCTGACCTCAATGTTCTCTGGGTCCTTCCTGCAGAACACTGCCAGCCCATACATACAGTTATGGATGATGTAGTTGCTTAGGAGCTGTGGGAGGCTGGATGACATAACCCACACACCGCAGCCTTTGTTACCTGAAGGAGTCAGAGGAAGAGGGAACTGAAACTGTTCTGAGTCAGGGGTGTTGAAAATGAGCTATTAAACACAATGAAGCCTCTAAGAGATAAATAATACATACAAAAAACCTGGTTTCCCTCAATAAGTCCACGTCCTCTCTCTCCCACCACAACACCATCTGAGTAGCCGTAACAAATGTAGTTGTTTCGTAAGATAGGGTCGCCTCCTCTGCGGATATCCACACCGCCCCATTGGTTCTCTCGAATTACATTCTCTGGAATTAAAATTAGTTATTATCTGTGTACATTAGTGGAGAAACACAAAGAAGCCATTTGTCAATTTGTGTGTTCATCTGGATAAGACAATGGAGCAGATCCACTGACACACCTGTTATCGTTCCTCTGCCGTTCTCATTTATAGCAATCCCTGCAGCCTGGCCCTGGAAGATGTGATTCCCACTGAGAAAGAAAGAAAAAAAAAAAAGGGGGGGATAAAAGTTCCCACGGAGCAAATGATGAATAGGAGAACAGAAAAGTGGTGTCAAAAGAAAAAAAAAAGAAGCTAGCTCTGCTGTAGGCTTTCTACAGAAATCCAGATTTCTATCTTTTTAAACAATTCCAGTCTCAAGATAAACACGAACACAGTGAATAATATCCAAATTAATTGCTTGCAGACTCCAACCTACCTTACCACGGGATTTCCACTGAAGAGAATATATACCCCAGCTTCTTTGTTGTTGTAAATCTGATTGCTTCGAATTGAACCTTTTCCATTTCCAAGGACAACAACCCCAGAGCGCAAACCACTGTGTATTTTGTTGCACTGTGGATTAATAGTTGATAATGGATAAAAAGACTGAGGAAATTAGTTTCATCTGGAAAGCCTGAATAGATCATTTCTGGAAATCATAAATATTCATACTCTGTTTTATGCATCTTAAGCTCTTAAGTTGAGTAAGTTAGAAAAGTAATGAACAAAAATCTCCTCATCCATGATATCTGGGCATGCTGCTGAAAGGGTCTGGGACATGCTATCACAGGAAATTTTTTGTTTGCTTGCATCTTTAAAAAGTTGGAATCCAATCAGCAATTGTGTGGCATTTACCACAATGGTTGGGTTAGCCCCCTTTCGGATATCCAGCCCTGCCTCCCCGTTCGAGTGAATGTTGTTTTCTGCTATGAGGCCCTGAGCAGAGAGGCGCAGAAACACGCCTGACGCACGACATTCGCAGACCTCGTTTCTCAGCATTACGATCTGAAGCAGGAGAGATAGAAAAGGAAGGTGATCAAGTAGCAGCTTGAATAGGACACTGATGCTAAATTACTAATGATACGAGCTACTTTAACTTGATATGTTTCCCAAATACACACAATACACAATCGCAGATGCATGCCATTTGTATGAAGCAAAGTTACTAGGAACATTATTAACTGTGGAGTTTTGGATGCAGCGCACGGCGTAGTTCAGGCTACGAAAAACATTCTCCTCCAGTCGAGCTTGTCCATAATTGGACAAATGCACACCGCCCTTCCCGTCCCT